GTATCGAGTTCAGTAGGATACGAGAAGCTGCTGGTCTTTTCCGGTTGTTGAAGACCTTGGATACTGGGGAAACACCTTCAGAGACCAAAATGTCAAAATAATACCTCATTGCAACCATCCCATCCATTCATTGTTCAGCTGTACTGTGATTTAGATTTTCAAACTGTTAAAACTGAAGTGGATTGTTTGGTCTAATGCATATAAACAACACTTTATCTATGTAAGGGAAAGTTTTGCTTTCCTGGATGACTTTTTCATTGAGATGAATTTTTGGTAAGAAGTTGGGAAAATTTTTTTAAGGTGTTTTGCTGATGACTATCCATAGGAAGAACGGTTATCTCAAAGAAAAGCTACTGCAAAAAAATTTTTTTTAGCACTGTAGAGCAAAATCCCTATTTTTGCTTAAAAGACAAACTGCAGTCTTCTGATAAACTAGGAGTCCAGTTTTTCTAAAATTCCAAATTAAAAGTATTTAATGAGAGTAAATGAAGACATTCTGAAGAATTTCTGATACTATCCTTGAAGTCAAAGCATTTAAATGTTTTTGATTCATCAGGTGGCAAACGGAAGTTTGGTTCTTGAACTTGCTGTATTCTCATTGAGCATAGTCTGACTTGTAACTTTTTCTTCTCATGAGGACTTAAAAAGACAACAGAATAAATTGCGTTTCTTGGGCCTCATAAACATGGGAACTTAGGAACTCTTAGAAACCTTTATCTTGGCTGTAGTAGCTGGTAGGGATTTTTTTTTTTTTTTAACCTCTCTTAAAGCTGTTCTGTATTAGTCTAAGATAGCCATTTTTTTGCTTTGAGGAAAACCATCAGTCAGTACTTTGGGAGCTCCATAACACCACTGAGAACTACAGTGTAAACTGCTTGCTGAATAGGATCTGTACTCTCTTGGGGTGGGTAGATTTGGAAGTGGGAGAGCAGGGTAACATTGCTTGGGCTGTTACCTCTCGTGTGACTTTGGAGAACAGTGCCTTCCATTAAAGTTCTTTATCAACTATTATCTGATTTATTTTTTATTCGAAAAAAACATGAAAATTTCTTTTCTCAAGGTACCCCAAAGTGTATTTATAGGGAAATTATTACTTAATTAATCCAACACTTAGCAAAAGTTAAAGGAAACCAAACTTAGTCATTTTAAGGTGAGTACAAGTTGCAATCTTACAACATTGGAGAAAGAACAGTATTCCTAGATCTAGAAAAATTATTTATGCACATACTATGTTATAACTATTCTTATGAAAGATATTTAAATTATTTTTTAAGGCAGAATCTTACTTTGTTGCCCTCAATAGAGGGCTGTGGTATCAAAAGCTCACAGCAACCTCAAACTCTTGGGCTTAAGTGATTCTCTTGCCTCAGCCTCCCAAGTAACTGGGACTATAGGCCTCTGCCACAATGCCTGGCTATTATTAGAGACAAGGTCTTGCTCTGGCCCAGGCTGGTCTCAAACTCCTGAGCTCAGGCAATCCACCCACCTTGACCTCCCAGAGTGCTAGGATTACAGGCATAAGCCACTGAGCCCGGCCTAAAAGAGATTTTTAAAGTATGTTTGCTTAGAAGAAACAAAGACCCAAGGCTATGTGTCAAAAATGAGAGCAAAACCTCAGTTTCTCTCATTGCCTAAAAGTGGGCATCCGATTTTTCAACAACCCATCCTTGGATTCCAGGACCTACTGATTCTCTGGCATGATAGAACAGTACATGCAGCTTGTGCCCGAATGTCTTCTGTCTGTAAGGCACATCATGGTCTTGCTGCACTTAAACAGTAACAGTACTTCCATGCTTGGGGGCCACTGTACACAGTGAAATCAAAAACTACAACAATGAGGAAAAATATTACATGTTGTTTTTTTTTTTTGAGACAGAGCCTCAAGCTGTTGCCCTGGGTAGAGTGCCGTGGCATCACAGTTCACAGCAACCTCCAACTCCTGGGCTCAAGTGATTCTCCTGCCTCACCTCCCTAGTAGCTGGGACTACAGGTGCCCACCAAACACCTGGCTATTTTTTGGTTGCAGCCCTTGTCATTTGGCAGACCCAGGCTGGATTCGAACCCACCAGCTCAGGTGTATGTGGCTGCCACCTTAGCTGCTTGAGCCACAGGCGCCAAGCCAAAAAGTATTACATCATGAAAAGGATACTTGTTCACACCATAGGAGCTGAAACAAGGCAGAGTTCCCTTGTTTAACCTGCTAGGAACACTGTGCTCTCCAAAAGTGACTGACATGTGCATGCTGATACGGGAGACACAAGCTTTAGTGAGTAGGGAATTCTCAAATATGGACTCCAAGAGTAATGATCAAGATCACAATGTTGATGTTTACTTGAAAGAAGAAAGATTTTCAAATTTAAATAAATGGCTTACAACAAACAATTGTACTTAGAGAACATTTTATAAAAAATAAAGTTGAATCAAGATTTACATTTATAACACCAACAAAAAGTTCTCAATAAGAGTTTATATAAAGTAAAAAACCATAATCCTGGGATTCAATTAACTGAAATGAACTTTTTAAGTGTAATCAAATTGAGTTCAATGTAACTGTCATGTTAAAACACCTTCAATTCTTCGGATGTTCTAGTTCCAATTTCTAGCTTTAATATTTAAATCACCTGTTTAAAAAAGAAGATAGCAGTAAGTAATATTCCTAAAACTAGCTATTTCAAATAATTCTCTAACTTTACAGAAAGATTAATTTTTGTTCTTACAGATTACATATACACAATTTCAAGGAACACTGAAGATTCACATCCCCATAGAGAATGATGGCTCTTATAGCTTGAGTGATATCCATTTTAGGTAACACTTTAAGGGTATCTCAATGCATTGGAAGAACTTTTTATATAGTCATTCTAAGATGTTTGCTGATTTCTTTCTTTTCTTTTTTTTTTTTTTGAGACAGAGCCTCAAGTTGTCCCCCTGGGTGGAATGCCGTGGCATCACAGCTCACAGCAACCTCCAACTGCTGGGCTCAAGTGAGTCTCCTCCCTCCACCTCCTAAGTAGCTGGGACCACAGGCGCCCACCACAACGCCCAGCTATTTTTTGGTTGCAGCTGTCATTGTTGTTTGGTGGGCCTGGGCTGGATTCAAACCCGCCACCTTAGGTGTATGTGGCTGACGCCTTAGCCACTTGAGCCACAGGTGCTCAGCCTGTTTGCTGATTTCATTTATATCCACTGGATTTCATTTACATCCAGCAGTTACTACTGTTATCAGAAAAATTCCCCCAAGATGAAATCTGGGATTCAGTAACTCTCTATTAGCCCACAGAAAGTACTAGTGTTCCCAGGTTTCTCTTTAGCCCATCATACAAGCCTAAAACTCATCTAAAGTAATGGATGGACTTTTACCCTTGTTTGTTTGTTTATTTTTTTGGAGACAGAGCCTCAAGTTGTTGCCCTGGGTAGAGTGCCATGGCATCACAGCTCATAGCAACCTCCAACTCCTGGGCTTAAGCGATTCTCTTGCCTCAGCCTCCCAAGTAGCTGGGACTACAGGCACCTACCACAATGCTTGGCTATCTTTTGGTGGTAGTTGTAACTGTTGTTTGGGAGGCCTGGGCTGGATTCAAACCTGCCCAGCTCTGGTGTATGTGGCTGGCACCTTAGCCGCTTGAGCTGCAGGCGCTGTACCATCATGTTTAAATGAAAGCAGTACAAATACTTTTTTTCAAGTCACTTATAGTTTGCTGTAGAAAGCTGCATGGCTGTGTAACATTGTAGAAATTTCACAAATGTAACATGTAACTAGTAATCCAAGTACTAGTGTTTTTGAAAACCAAATCATTTTTTTTGGAGATAGGGTCTTGCTCTGTTGCCCAGGCTAGAGCACAGTACCATCATCACTGTAACCTCAAAACTCATGTGCTCAAGTGATCCTCCTGCCTCAACCTCCCAAACAGCTGCTGACCATAGGTATATACTATTCATTCCTGGCAATCTTAATTTTATAGAGATGGGGGTCTCACTGTGTTGCTGAGGCTGGTCTCAAATTCCTAACTTCAAATGATCCTGCCTCCCAAAATGCTAAGATTACAAGGTGTAAGCCACCATGCTTGGCATGATAAATGTTTTTAAACTTTAAAAACTAAATTTGTTGGGGCCGAGCATGGTGGGTCACACCTGTAATACTAGCACTCTGGGAGGCCAAGGCAGGTAGATTGCCTGAGCTCATAGGTTCGAGACAGCCTGAGCCAAAGCAAGACCTCATCTCTAAAAATAGCCAGGCATTGTGGCAGGCGCTTGTAGTCCCAGCTTGTAGTCCCAGCTACTTGGGAGGCTGAACAAGAGAATCGCTTGAGCCCAAGAGTTTAAGGGTGCTGTGAGCAATGATGCCACAGCACTCTACCAAGGGCCACAAAGTGATACTCTGTCTCTTAAAATAAAAAACAACAGAAAACCAAACTGTTTTGACTAATATAATCTATTATATGTTATATAACCAATTATAATTATATAATTATATTTGACATATAATTACCTTAAGTTCTAGTTGGTAATACATACATACATACTGACTTAATTTCAGCTGTCATTGAGCAAATAAACTTTAATGTGTGCCAAAAGATACTGTTGTCAAACTACAGATGGTGCCCCCAAAATGTATACATTTTTTATTAAAAGTGTAATATTCAAGTAAGGTCTGAGTTCTGTAATTGCAAGGGTTTCCAGGTGACTTGTGTTCATCTTTTGTTATTGGTATACATTGAGTATTATACTTTTTAAAAAAAAATTTTTTTTAGAGACAGTATTTTTACTTTGTTGCCCTCAGTAGAGTGCTGTGTCATTAGAGCTTACAGCAACCTCCAACTCCTAGGCTTAAGTGATTCTCTTGCCTCAGCCTCCTCAGTAGCTGGGACTCTGTACAGGCACCCACCACAACACTCGACTTTTTTGTTGCAGTTTGGCCTCAGCTGGCTTCGAACCCAACCACTCTTGGCATATGGGGTCGGCGCCCTACTCACTGAGCCATAGCTGCTGCCCAAGTATTACACTTTTAATATAATTTTTTTCCTTTCTTAACATGTGTATAAATATTTTTGGGCACACTCTGTATTTTACTGGGGAATTTAATTACACTGGATATCTCATTTCTAGTGTATGGGATGCACACCTATTCTTAAAGGTTTTATTATTATAATCTTTAAACTTCTAGTAGTCCTTGGTTCAAGTAAATGTACCTTATGGAACACAGACTAGTATCACTACCCATTCAAGCCCCAGTGTTGTCTGAAGGCTGATTATTTTTTTCTTAAAAAAAAAAAAAAGCTCAGCTGTCTTTGGGATGCCTTTCACGACCACTCCCATGGCATGAAGCTTCCATCCTGATGTTACTGAGGTCAGACCAGTGGGTCGCTTCAGGAGGTTTTGTCATCGTGTGCCCACACAGAGAGCAAACTGCTGATGGAGACACTGCAATTCGGCCTTTTATTGTCATCATTCCTCAGTAGCTGTGGGAGCAGTCTTTTGGGAAAGGCTATATCCCTAAAGAGACAGATGTGGAAATTATTACCTGAGAAACAGTGGGTGCTCTTACATCTCTCTGGCCCTTTGTTGTTTTCTGCGGCTAGACACTGGAGACTGAAGCAGGATGGCAGGCAGGGAGGGGTACAGAGGATCAGTTGCAGGCACGCTGCCTCTCTCACAGCGCACCTGTGGTTTTCAAAGTTAAAACACTGTTCTACATTAAAAGTGAACAAGCAGCTTTTATGACAACTATCAGGAGGAAAGTGATTACTGCTATAAATAATATACCATACTCTTCACTGACATTTCCCAAATTCCCAGCATCTTATCAACTTTAAAGTTTCTTGTTATTTCCATCTAAATACACTTTAAAAATGTTTAAACTTTAAAAATAGTTTTCTCAATAAACTTTTATATTTTGAGACACAGTCTCATTCTGTTGCCCTGGAGAGTGCCGTGGCTCACAGCAGCCTCAATCTCTTGGGCTCAAATGTCCCCTTGCCTTAGCCCTCTGAGTAGCTGGGACTACAGGCACCTGCCACAACACCCAGCTAGTTTTTCTATTTTTAGTAGAGATGGGTTCTTGCTCTTGCTCAGGCTGGCCTCAAACTCCTGAGCTCAAGCAATCTACCTGCCTCGGCCTCCCAGAGTGTTAGGGTTATAGGCATGAGGCACCACACCCACCGATAAACATTTTTACTTATAAAATAAAGGTACACAGAGCAACTAGTTTAGAAACAAGAAAAGACTGTAATTCCACACTCTGAAAAGCAACTGCCTCATACTCCTTGACATCTACCTCCAGGAAGGGAGCAAAAGAGCAAAGAGCAGGTAGTGTGCTGAATCACTGTATAAAGCTAGCAAGGTCTCCAACGTTAGACTGCTGCTTTGACCTACAAGTAAGACGAGCAAACGAGTGACAACAAATGGTTAAGCAAGCTTATGATTTTAACTTTGCTTAAAAACTGGCTAGCACAGTGGCCTATCCCTCACATACAGCACTTTGGGAAGCTGAGGTGCAAGGATTGCTTGAGGCCACAGAGTTCAAGACCAGCCTGGGCAACTTAATAAAACCCTGTGTTTACCGAAAAATGAAAAAAAAAAAAAAATTAGCCAGGCATGCTCCAAGTGCAAGCAGTTTCAGCTATTTGGAAGGCTAATTAGGAAGATTACCTGAGCCCAGGGATTGAAAGTTTCAGTGAGGCGTGACTGTGCCACTGCACTTCAGCCTCAGCAACAGAGTAAGACTGTCTTGTTTGGCTCGGTGCCTATAGCTTAACCGGCTAAGGCGCCAGCCACGTACACCTAAGGTGGCGGGTTCGAATCCCCAGCCCGGACCCGCCAAACAACAATGAC